ACAGAACATCCTTACAAAGATTGATCTGTCCTCAAGGAACCACTCAACAAAGCCTACCGCAGTGTCCTGTGCTGGAGCCAGCTTTCATGCTTGTAGTGAAGCTTCTCCAGATATTCGATGGGGATTTCTTGTTCTTCATCTCTTCCACGCAAGTAAATCCTATTCAAGCATTTCTAAAGGCAAGAGATAGTAAATCAAAATAAGTAAATTGCTGTGTTGCATGCCAAGAGCACAGAAATAACCAAATTTAAACCAAGCAAATGTTTAAAATCATTTGTTCCCACCCTGAGCGCACCTAAAGCCTCAGCAACAAGCCAAAACTATTGAAGTGTTGTACTTTGTAATTTAAATATACATTCTTTTCTTAAATACAAAAACAAAAAGCCCCAAGAGTTACTCCAGTGTGTTACATTCCACAGTTTTTTACAACCATAACAAAACTGAAGGCATGGAAGCTGGAAGCAAGGAAATATCAAAGTGACCTCTAAGTTCATTAGAGCTCTTTTAACCTCATGTTTTTATGTGGTTCAAGCAAATTCCACGCTCAAAGGAGGTATTATTCTGTTCTCTCCTTTTAAACAAAAATTAGATGGCCCAAGATCAAAGCCTGGTCATAAGGCCTTGCACACAGTGTGTGCTTTCACCTGGCCTAGCTCCAGCTAGGGGCTTCACAGACCACCCCCACATCAGCACTGCCACGACTGCCAACTGTTGTGTCCATTCCCTGTACAGCTATAATCCCGATGTAACAGCTATTCCTAGAGGGATTTTGTACTTTCCTGCAGTCACTCACTTTATCCCAGCGGTACTTTCTGGTTTACTGTTCTCATGCATTCTGTTTTTAAAATGAGAAAATCATTACCATCACAGCTGACTTTAGTACACACAGTCTACATTTGAAAGAGCTTTTTTGCTTAAGTACTTCCAGACCTAGTCACAGCTCAGGTACTGCAGCCTCCAGAGGAGCAGCACAGCCTGAGCTGAGCTCTAACCACGAGGGGCAAGGCCCAGAACACAGACTTGTTTTTGGTGTCATCACATTCATACCCCTCACCTCAGGAGTGGCTCGGAGATAAATGATCCCATCCAGTGCCAGCCTGGAGCCAAACTGTTTATTCATCCAGTTGTGCCAGTCCTGGTAAATTGTCCACTCGGTCTCGTTCATGCAGTCAGACTCGTACAAATTGGCAGCAAAGATGTACCTGTGGACACGGAAGCGATGGAAACAAAACTTCTCTCAGACACAGGAACCCCTGGGTTTGCCTCAAACACAGGAACCGGAGAAGAAGCTGAGTGGTGACGCTGCAGCATCTCTGAGGATCTCCTGGAGCAGAATAAACAACCACTATTCTCCTCCTGGAGCTGTGTGCATGAAGCCCACCAACATTTGCAACAACACCCCACAGAAGCTGGCTTGTACACCGGGTCAACTATTTACAATATTTACAATAAATTAAAACACATGAATTTTTGCAACATATTACCACAGGGAGAACACCTAAGAATTATGGGCTGGGATTCAGTTATCAGTCTCACCTTCTGAATCCAGAAACGCAGGATTGGGCATTTATTTAGGCATTTTGTTGTTGGCCATAACTTAAACACGAGGAGCTCCACCTCAACATGAGGAAGAACTTCTTTCCACGAGGGCGGCCAAGCAGCATCACAGCTGCTTTGGGACGTCACGGAGTCTCCCTCTGGAAGCATTCTGACCACCTGCGCTGACGCTGCCTGGGCTGGGGGCTCGGGCTGCCCTTCCAAGCCCACCCATGCCGAGGTTCGGCTCGGGAGGGCTCCCCCTGCAGGGCTGCAGCCCCGCGTACCTGTCGCTGTAGACGGAGCGCTCGAAGAACGCGACGGGCTCCTGCGCGTCCCGCAGCTTGTCCAGGGCGGCGAGCTGGGCGCGGATTCTGCTGAGGCACGCGTACGTCTGGAAGGTGAAGGCCCAGCGCTCCGGCTTCTCGTACATCATGCGCAGCACGTTCCCGCCGCTGCGCTGCGACGTGCTCAGCTCCTGCGCCCGCGGGAAAAGAGCACGGTGCTGACCCAGCCCGGAAAAGCTCGGGAGCAGCCGGGAGCAACGCGTGCCCGGTGAGGGTTACACCGCGCCCACCAAAACGCACCATGCTCTTGGCCAGGCCTAGCGAAAGATCCCCAGCCCCTCAAAAGCCACCTGCACAGGAAGTAGCGGCTGGATTGCCAATGGAATTACACGCCAAGCGAGCAGCAGGTCTCCATTTCCTAAGACTTTTCATGGCACAGTGTGAAAAATGTGTATTTTATGATTGGCTTTTCGCAAGTATTAAAATGAATATTGTATATGTATGTTAGAAAGTTATGCTGTATTAATTTTCTTAATATAGTTTTAGGTTATAACAGAATGTTAAAATAGAAACTGTGCTATGTAAGATATTTGTTTAAGAAAGGACTGGCACCAGATAGGAGCCACAGGACACCTAAATCTTTCAGAGAAAAGGAATTTGTTGCTCCCTTATCAGGAAAAAATTAACTTCTTCCCACCTCGCTCAGACAGGAAGACGGCATAAGGATTAAGAGGAAGAAGTTGACAGTGACCAGACAGAATCCTGGTTTGAATGGAATTTATGCATCATATATGAGATGTATGAATATGCAACAGGCAATTGTTTTTAAGGGTTAATCCTCTGTTAACCGGTGTCCTTTTTTGGGCTTGTGTTGCCCAGAAAAAGGTACCCGGATGTCCGTATCTCTCTGTTTTTATTGTCTCATATTGTCCTAATCTCTAGTGTTCAAATTTTATTACTCTAATTATATTACTATTTTTATAACCATTTTACTACTATTAAACTTTTAAAATTTCAAAGACAAGCAATTGGCGTTTTTCACACACAGGAAGAAGCCTCAGCACTCACCTGGTTAGTTCACAGTGGCTACAAGTAACTCTTTACCACTTTCAGAAATGACACCCAAGAGGAACTCAGACCTTCTGAATGCCATCAGCAAAAGTGTTGCTATCACACAGTCTGCGAAAGCAGCCAGTCAGCTGGACACGCTGCTGTGCTGAAATCATGCGTTTGACTTTTTTCCCCCCTCTTTTACCTCAGAGTCATCTCCAGAGCTTTGCTGGACATTGCACCATCTAGCTACAGGCTCGGGAACCACTTCCCACTCCTCACAGGCTTGTTTCAGGACATCCACAAAGGTGGATTTCCCTGCAGCTGTAGGAAGAGCATCCAGGAACGACGTCAGTGAGAAGCCACCCACGGCAGTGTTATTTAACTAGAGTTCAGCTCTGCCTCGCACCCCCATAAACCACTCTCCCACACCCACCGTGAGCAGGATCAATTAATGGAGCAACAGGGTTTCTCTTTATCTGAATTTAAGCAGGTTGGACAACAGGCACCTGGTGATATTTTGAGGTGTGCTGGGCAGGGCCAGGAGTGGGATTCAGAGATGCTTATGGAGCCCTCCCAGCTCGGGGAATTCTGTGATTCTGGGTGTTTTACGCCACAAGCGGGAAAGACACGGGGAAAAGCTTATCCCGGACTCCCACACCAAAGAGGTGAAATCTTGTGGAGGCGTGCATCGCTGTAGCCCCGCTCTGCCGTAACGGGAGGAGCCCTCACACAAGGGAAAGGGGGACAAAAGTGGGAAAAGAGGGATGGAAGGGAAGAGGTAAGGAGGAAGCGGAAGGGAGGAAGGAAAAGAAAAAAGACACGAAGGAGGCAGGCAGGCAGCGAAGAGCCCGCAGAGCTGCGCCTCCCCCAGACGCCGCCGAAAGCACCGAGCGCCGCGGAAGCCGCCTCTCCCTCCAGCCCCCGCCTTTCCCCGTCCCGTTTCCCCGCGCAGGCGGCAGGCGGCGGCTCACCGATGTTGCCCTCCACGGCGACCTTCTTGAGGCGGCCGCGGGGCCGGGGGCGCTTGGGCGGGGTGGCCATGGCGGCCTGAGGGGGCGCGAGCCCAGCCCGGCCCCGCGCGCCGCCTTCAAATTTGGCGCGCGGCGGCAGCGGGCCCGCCGGGGCGGCCGCTGACGTCACCGGCGCGCGCCCGCGCGTGTCGATGGCTTCCGGGGGGGGGGGGGGGGGAGGGTCGGAGCTGCTGCTCCTCCCGCCGGACAAAGGGAACGGGACAAGGGGACAAAAGGGGACAAAGGCACCCCCAACCCGGGCACAGATCGCCTTCAGAACTCCTCCTGGGAATGCCAGGGAATGGCCTGGCACCGGCGCGAAGGCTGGCCGCAAAGGGGACCGGCGGCACTTGGATTTAGAGGGCTGTTAATGAAAATCGTTGGGATGGCACAGCCAGCTTTCGCCTGGAATTCTTGACTTCAGGAAGGAGCTGTTCCCTGGGAGGGTGGGCAGGCCCTGGCACAGGGTGCCCACAGAAGCCCCTGGAACTGCCCAAGGCCAGGCTGGACAGGGCTTGGAGCAGCCTGGGATAGTGCAAGGTGTCCCTGCCATGGCAGGGGCTGGAATGGGATGGGCTCTAAGGTCCCTTCTAAACCAAACCATTTTGGGATTCTATGAAAGCCTAAAACCTCCCCAACAGACACCAAACCCAAGGAGAAGCAAGCTAAACAGGGAAAAATCCTGAGCCCAGGGGGACGGGCACCAGCAGGAGGGCACTTATGGCTCCAGATCAGTGTAAAAAATCCAAGTAAAAGCCACATTTCAACCACCTGGTTCCAAACTGCCCTCCAGCCACGTGTGTGATGAACTTACCAAGGGGCAGGGCACTTGAGAACCCCTGGTGGGTGGGAGGGCAGGAAACCTGGAGCGCCCCAGCTGCTGGGGTCACTGGAGGCTCTCGGGAGAAAGAAAAAGCCAAAAAAAAATTCACCTGTGCTGCTGGGCAAGGCAAAAAGTGGAGCCTGCTACACCTCCTGTGGCACCAAGCAGCCAACAACATCCCTTGTTGTGTCCTGGTCACTGGCTTCCAATACAGAGGGGAAGGGGAAAAAAATCTATTTACAAGTGGGAGACCACTGATGGGCAAGTCCAAGATGGAAATAAAGACAGTCATGGTCAAACATAGCTATTTATTTTCTCTTATAAACAGCCTTCAGTTTCTTATTGAAAAAAAAAAAAAAAACAACCCTAGGATTTAAATATTTTGCCCCATCACATACAACCATCTGTATACATTATTTACAACTCTCAAATAAACACGGTGCGGGTTTTCGGACATTCAACTTATTCTTTTTTAATCAAAAGCTGTTTGCATTTAGAACTGGAATCTCCATCAGTGACTACGAACTGAAGCGGTATTGGCACAGTTAGCTCACAGTAAGGGTTCTCTCCTTGCATTTTACACGTCACGCTGCCTTTTGTCCCACCAATTTCAGGATTCTCAAGGAGGAGGAAAGGTTAGTGTCGCTTTCGGAATTAATTTCTCTCCTTTTTTTTGCCTTCAAAAATGGCCTTTTACTGAAGCCTCGATCATTTTTACTCAAACCTCATTGGGTTTTCACTGAAACCTTTTTATTGCATGCTCCTCTCTCTCCCAGGGCACGCCAGGGCATGTGCCTCTGCACCACACAACCACAGCATTCCCAAGCAGTCCAACAGCCACGACAGTCAGCGCTCCCTCCCTCCGCGACACGGCTCGGAAAAATCGTCCCCAAGTTGCAAACGTACAAAAATAATGAGTATAGTTCAGTGGCTATAAAAAATTAATCTCCCCTAAAAATACAATATTCTATGAACAATCTGGGGAATCGCTTCTTCCAACAAAATAAGGTAATTGGATATTTTCCTAGGCTGCAAACTGAACCTGGCAAGAGGAAACCATAAGAAAAGCGGGGGAAGAAGAAGGTTTAACACTGAAAATCAATAAATGTTAAAAGAGAAGATACCCAGGGAAAAACGATGGGCATCCATAAAACTGCCAGTGGTTTCAGGAGTGAGGGATTGGAAAAGAGATAACTGCTACCAGCAGTGAAGGAAACGAGATCCGGCACAAACGGGAATACTTCAGTGGGGAAAAAAAAAAAAGGAATCTCTGCTGGTGCTGCAGCTCCTCAGCTAATCCAACCAAAGGGGGGGTATGTACAGGAACAGCACTCTGGCAGGCAGGGGAGGAGGAGAGGGCAGCAAGGAAAAACACAGCTGTCCCAAAGGATGGGTTTATAGCAAAACTGTCTGGTGACCCGGGAGAAAGGAAGGGGGGTGAGAAAAAGAAAGGAACAATCTGAAAGGTAAGTTGAGTCCATAGCAGCAAATAGGTGTCCTTACCTGGTAACTGAGCGTCAGGGACACTGGGAGAGGGCTCAGTTCCCAAGGACTGAGTAAGGGCACTGCTCCTCTCCATCTCCATGGAAAAGCAAAAGTTCAAAGCTCTACATTGCATAGTAAGCAGGAAAAGAAACTGGATACTTGCAGATGGGCTGCCTGCCCCTCAGAACCTGTTTTGTCCCCTCAGCCACCTGCAGCAGCAGAAGGCAGTGGTTTGGTTCCTCTTTGCTGGAGTGACTTGTATCCCTGCCTGGGACTGGAAAGACTTGGAAGCACATCCCATATCCATCCACCCCTGGCTGAGCTGCGTGGGCTCGGCCCTTGGCCCCTTCCCAGCTCCAGGGAGGAGTCACCACCCAAAGCCCCGACAAGATCCGACGTGCTGGTAGCAGCAGACCACCACAAACCACAGGAATTTGGGACCCCCCCCAGGCTGGAGGGCCTGAGGCAGCACTGGAAGCACAGCCTGGTTCAACCCCATGGGCACCTTCTGAGGTTTCATCCCCGAGAGCTCGTCACCCCTCCAAGTCCAAAGTGAGAGCCTGCAGCAGAGCAGGGTTTGCTTCTCTGGGGTTTATCTGGAGGGGCAGGGGATGTCCCCCCCTTTTCCTCCCATAAATGCACTATTTTATAAACACATTCACTCGATCCAGATTCCTTTGAGTGGCATTTCCATGTGCCCTTACTCCAATAGTGTAAACACACGTCAACTTCTGGTCCCACAGCTTTCAGAAGCAAAACAACAATGAAAAGCTGCAAAAAGAAACAGCACGGGGATCCTAAGTCCCCACCACTGCAAACACGTCCTCAATGATGTTATTTTCAAGTGTTGTGTAATTAAACAATGTGTTCGTACAGCTGTCAGGCAAATCATGATCTCCAAGCTTTTATTACGTGCCTAGAAACTATTCGGTCAGACTTTCTACTGCCAGATATTGAATTTTAAAAAAACCCCACAATATCCACCTAGGACTCATTTTAATACATTCCAATTCTAATGGGCTGAACTGCAGCAGATGCCTCTGAGGTCTAGAACTGGCTGCTCAAAAGAAAAAAACTGCAACACCAACAACAAGACCTAAGCCCTCCCCAGGGCACAAGCGTGCCAGGAAGGTGAACCCCTGCACCACCGTGCTCAAGCACATCCTCATTTCTACACCTCTATCCTTTCTGCTGCTCCTGGCACATGACACCAAGCCAAGGAGTCACCCTGAAATGGGAGGTATCCCCTGTTTAGCACACCTGGGAGCTCCTGCCTCGCTCCCTGTGTGTCCAACCCGAGCAGCTGGGATGTGGGAGGAGGGTGGCTTTGGCGCTGTCATGCGGATGGTGGCACAGGAAAAGCCAGAAGATCAGGATCCCTCACTGGAGCCCAGGAGCTGCCAGGTGAGTCACTGCTGTGCTCAGCTGTTCCCTGCTGCCCGTGCCAATGGCCACTCACCTCTCCTGCAGGCTCCTGCACGCCAGCTCCAACTTTACTCCAGCCAAGGCACACAAAACAGAAGCTCAACTTCTCTGCCACGTGCTCACCTTGGCCTCCCCTGCTCCTGCTGCTTTTCCCAACAGCTGGAGCTCCCTGAAGATGGGCAGGGGTTTTAAACAATGGGGAACACCATCACAGCGACGTGACACCAAAGCAGCCCTGGAAATTATCTCCCCTCCAAGACACATTTCCTCCCACAGCAAACACTGGCCGCCAGAGCCCCTCAGGGCCAGGCTTTGCATTCCTAACTTAAAAACACCTTTCCAGCAGTTATTTTTCAAGCCAGGCTTTCCTTACTATTACTACTAGTATCCCAGTGCAATTTTTTTCTAGGGAATATTTTCCCTAATGGTATTTGTGCAAACTACCTGTTCATTTGGCAACTGCTAGGGGAACTTAACAAGCTGGCTGACCCAACTGATGCTCTCCTGCTAAGAAAATAAAAGCAAATGCCAAGCCCCATGGCAGGAGGCATGGAACTGCTTGCTAAGCACAAGGCCTGTGTAATTTTGACACTACCTTGGCCATTTCGCTTTAGCAAGGACTTTGTTTTTTTTTCATAAGAAGTCATCTAGTTTTGAAAAACTCTATAGTCATCTCTAAAAAAATAAGACAAGTATTTGTATTAAAAGCTGGAGATCATTGATTTCAGCAAGTTATGGCTTTTTTTTTTTCCTAGTGTAAGCATAGATACATATTTTTAAAACAAGTTTCAGTAAGTGTCTGGGTGTTAGTACATATTTTCTGTTTCCAGCAATGTTCAGTATTGTATGTGCTTTGCACCTCAGAAGTGAGTCTGCCAAGGCACTTAGAGAATGTAAGCAAGTCTTCCAGGGACTTCATGAGAATGGGCTACCACTGACACAACACAAGAACCCATCCACCAGCAGAGTCAATCCCCCAACCAAGCACGTTTCCTTGATAAACACTCAGCACCTGCTAGAAATTCCACAATGAATAACAACAGTAAAATAATATTAATAAAAAAAAAGCTATTCACCACATGTCACTAACAGAGAAAAAGATTTCCCCTAATAAAAGCACAGAAAGTAGATCTCAGCTGTAACCGGTAACAGCACGGGGGGGTTTTGTTTTGTTGTTTTTAAAAAAAAAAAAAATTAACAAAAAACAAATACCACACACTCGCTTAAAGAAACAAGTGACTCCAAGAAGTCCTCTTCCTTTTATCTGTCCTTGGAGGTGAGTTTTTCAATCAGTTCTTGAAGTGGTGCAAGTTCTCTTCTATCAATAAGGTTGAATTCCTGCAACAGGGATGAGGAGAGAAACACACAGAGAGAATTTAATGGGTACAGCTCCGGTGAGAAGCCTCATTTAGCCAGAACTCATCCAGCAGTCAGCTCTCCAAGCCCAGGCTCGGCCACTACATCCTCCCCTGCCCATCGCTGACCTCAAGTGTTCCACTGCCTGAAGCTGTTTCTCCCTCTTAAAGGAAGGAAACCTAAGAAGATGCTGATTTTTTTTTTTCCACAAGGGAAGGGGGATAACGTAGTTTGGAAGCAAGAACACCGCTTGCCGTGTCCTTACCTGAACAAAAAATATAAAGTGCTTGAAAGAAGTGTTGAGGTGTGCCTCTTCCTGCAGCTGGATGACGGGGTCAAAGTGCTGGTGGTAGATGTGGGCGTAAACTCTGAAGAGACGCTTGAGAATTGTCTTGGCCACTGACATGAAGTTCTTTGGGAATGGTACACCTGGGGAGAAGGAAACAGAGGGCTTATTCTTCAACTGCCAGGCCATGTTTGTCTGTTGTGAAAGCCACTACAAGCCAGGGCAGATGGAATCAGTTTCAACAGCAGACCTTGTCACTGCACAGGTTTTACTGAAACTGGCTGGGAAACAGCAAGTGGCTACTGGGAGCCATCAACTCTTCAGCTGTTGCTTCCCCAGGCTAAAAAAAAGACATGTATCAACCCTCTGAAAAGAGGAAACCTGCCTAGCTCCTCCTCACCTACCGGTCTCCCCAGTCAGCTTAGCTCTTCTGCAGCCTTTCCAAGTGCTCAAGTCCTGCCTGAAGGCCGGAGGCTCTGGATGCTCCGGGGTCAGTCAGGACCTCACCAATGCTTTCAGGTCCCACCATGAATGTTCTCATGGTGGCAGTGTTCTCAGCTCCTGCTGCAGCCTGCCCTGCACACACGTACATGGCATTTCCTCCTCTGGTTGCTGCAGCACATGGGAAACTCACACTTAGCTGGTTAGCTTGTGGTCTCTCTTGGAAACTCCCTGTGAAGGCATGGTTTCTCTAAAGAAGCTCAATGAAAATGTGTCAAAAGCCTCAGAAACCATTTACAAAGTAAAGGCAACCAAGAAATCCCCCGTTATCTTTTCCAAACTGTTAGCTGGTCATTACTTCCCTCCTGCTTTTTTGAAAGAAGCTTCTTTAAAAGATCTATTTTTCATCTTCACTTCAAAAAAAACAAGCAAAAAAAAATCACCAACATAAAATCAAAGTTGCAATTCAGCTTCTTTAGAGGTAAGGCCTGAAAGTTCCTCATGACACCCAGATATCCCTTCAGACAAAAAGCTGCTAGTTAGTGGTTATAAGAGTCTGAGACCCCCTGCTGTTATTTCTAAAGAAACAACTCACTGTTCCAAATGAATGCAACACCAGACTCGATGAACAGAACCAGTTGTTAGCTAGAAATGGTACTTCCTGCACCCAGAATTGTGACAGGTGTTTATTAGGAGTACTAACACACGGATCAGAGTTCATGCATTACAACATACCTTCCAAGATAAGCGTGTGCAGACAGATAAGGCAACCTTCTAAACCTGCCCCGCACATCAAGCACTGCAGAGACCTTTCAGCACTGGAGCTGGTGTAACCCCAGTGCCCCGCTCAGCTGCAGCTACCCCCTCACCTATTTTAGAAGGAAACAGCGTTTCATCATCCAGCTGGTCCTGGACCCAGGTCATCAGGTAATCGATGTACTTCGGCGCCGAGCACTTGATGGGCTTCTTGATGTTGGTGCCGTCTGCCCAGTGGTACTCGTACCTGGGGTGGGTGAGACAAGGTGGCCTTCAGCACCAGGGAGTCACTCCCCATGGGCCTGCCAGAGGGTGGATCACCTTGGAAAGACATGGCTGGAAAACCCCAGCACGGGGAGCCTGGTAATACCAGCTCCCCAGTGAACCACAGGGTTGGTGTGCTACAGACCACATGCTGGTTTGGTTTTATGCAAAGCTTAGCTGCGCCTGATAAATCTGTCCTCTCGATTTGTTTAGCAAATTTGGTTTTGGCAGAACAACTGCCAGGAGAATATTTTCACCATAAACAAATCTGATGAGGGATTATGAAGGTGCTGCTCACAACAGGACCAAAAAACCCCATTTTTGTAACAGCAACAAATCAGAGGGTCTGAAAGCATTTAAAAACTGTACATGCAAACACATGCAAATATCCCAGACACACCAAATGTGTCTGAATTTATGAAAAAACAGGATCCCTCACCACCTAGTACTGCCCTACTACCAAGATTTAAGTGGTATTCATGAAGGACAAATATCAACACCTAGCTGAGGTGCCAGGATCAGTCTGGAGCCAGAGCAAAACAACAAACTGAATTAGGGAGCAGGAAAAAGTACAAACACTGGATGTCTCAACAAAAGCATAATAAAGAATCCAAGAAGGGCACAGGGATTCTTATCTACAATTTCTACAATACCTACAAAGAACATTTTGGTAAGCCCCAATGGAAAGCCTGCATATAAAAGGTTTAAATCTTCATTTAAGAAGCTCTCATAAATGTTTCAGAAAAATAAAGATGGGGAAAGAATAATTTTGATAATTAATTTACTTCCCAGGTTAAAGGAAAGAAACAAACACCAAACAAATATGAACACAGACCAAAAAATATCAACTTGCTATTCCCCACCCACTTAACAGACATTCAAATCCTTCTTCTCTTTCACATCCTTGCCACCTAACCCTGGCACTCCTCTCAGCTGGTCTCAAGCTTTAAATGAAAAATCATCCCAAAAACAGCACCCAGTCACCAGTGTGTGAGGAGCAGGCTCTTACTTTGGGCCAGCAGACATCACGGGGCAGCTCTCCTCCGTGCAGAAGTCCGTAATGGTTCCGTAGAGCATGTTGATCTGGTTGAAGAAGTCGACAGCTGGAAAGCATGGAAACCACCCATTAGCACTCTGCAGCACAGGATTCCTACAGCCCAGACTGTAAAGCACAGCTTCTGGAATGGATTTTGGGGAAAAAAAACCTCCATTGTTGTTGCTTTTTAAAGATCCATTATAAAAGAGATGCAGAATGCAACCACCAACTTTCTGGAACAGCCTCCAGCAAGAACTATTTAATTGTTCACTGCAGCAAAATCTTCAGTTGGAAGAAGGAGGAAAGAAGGAGAAAACCTAGTCATTTTCTTTCCTGAAAATTTGGTGCATTTTATTACAATCCCAAATTCTACTGGCAAGTGTGGAATCCAAGAGAGATTTTCAGCACCAACTTTCCAACTAGAGAGCAGGTACTCATTAAGTGACAGTGGCTTCCCTCAGGCTTTGTATTCCCAAGGCCCACCTTTCCCAAGAACATCTCATACAATCCCAGACTGCTACAGGTGGGAAGGGAATTTCAGAACCATCCAGTTCCACCCCTGCCACGGGCAGGGACACCTCCTGCTACCTCAGGTCATTCCAAGCCCTGTCCAACCTGGCCTTGGACACTTCCAGGGATCCAGAGGCACAGGTTCTCTGGACAACCTGTGCCAGGGCCTCCCCACCCTCACAGGGAAGGATTTTTCCTGATATCTAAATCTACTCTCAGTTACTCTTCCAGTTAATTACTCCAAACTCTTAGAGAAGATTCTTTTTCATTCGCTCACAAGGAACTGTGGTCACTGCAGTCAGCTTCTAAAACCCATTTTATCTGTCATTTATCTGCAGGTATTTCTCAGAAGATAAACAGCCAAGATGAGACAAACATCACTGGAGCAAGTAACAGCTACTGCTCAGCAGATCCAGGACACCAGCCCTCGCTTCTCCAGCACCCACAGGAACTGTTAACTAAGTTTCCATTCCCTGCTCCCAGCAGGTACCACAGCCCACTGTTTGCTTCCAGGCAAGCCTGTTCAGAAAACCCACACAGGCTCCCACAGAGTGCCCGATTACAGCAAATCCCACTCATGGAAGTCTCAAAATCCACAGGCCCATCAAGTCTTTCCCTAAGACACCAGTCAGGCTAAGCACTGAGGAAGAAGCAGCAGGGCAGAACACCTCTGTGCTCCCAGGGTTGAGAAGGGCAAAAGCAATGACTTGCAGTCACACATTTTGTCTCCTGATGAGACCTCTGTGTGAGCAGAAGGGGCTCACAGCTACTGCTGGAGCTCGGTGTGGTGCAGGGATGCTGAGGAAAGGGAGCCCCTCACCAGCTCACTCTTTAATTACACAGCTACCATTGCACTCCAGCTCATTCAGCAGTCAAGTCACTCGGGAAAGGAAGAAGCTGCTGCCATGCAGGAAAGCAGACACACAGAGTGCAGGAACCACCAAAAGGGAAGGATGCCAGCAATACATGAAGCATCTTAAGCAATGCTCACTCACACAAGTGGGCTGGCTTTTTTCTCTAGCCTAGTTTTGCAATGCAGTGTGAATTAAGTGTTGCAAAGGATGGTGTCAGCAATTCCAGCCTGCCCTGGAAGCAGTGGCAAGTGGAGCATCAGAGCACTGAGTGACTGGCTGGGAAGAGGAAGGTGAGAGCCAGCGGGACAGTTTCACTTCCCAAACATGTCAAAGAACAAGAAGAAAAAAAGGCAGAACCACAGAAACAATTGGAGGACATTTAAATCAAGCAATAATTTCTACTGCAGTGCACAATCAACCCCGTACCACCACTGGAGCACATCAAGCCTGAGAGGCAAGAGGTGAGCAAACACCCAGACAGGGCACAGAGCTTGTGGCAGCCAAAACTGCACAGTGCAAAGGGAGAATCCATTCTTTAGGAGCCGAGGGCAAAATTCGTGCAGCAGGGAGGGGAAGGAGGAGGAAACAAGTTCAAGCAATCAGAAAACACTAATTTAGGCATCATTGTTTGGCCTGAAATCAGAGAGTTTGGACAAACAGCTTTAGAGGAAGTCAAAAGAATGACATCAGAGATTTACCGCAGCAAAGGCTCAAAATTTGGTAGGAACTAAAGGAACTAACTTTAGGAAAATTACAAACCCCATCAGAATCACAGAACCATTCAGGCTGGAAAAAGGCCTCCGAGATCACCAAGCCCAACCTGTGGCTGGTCGCCACCCCCTGACAGCCACGTCCAGCTGTCCCCGGGACATCTCCAGAGGAGATGGGATGGGAAATCCAACACCTCCAATGCTGGACAACGTTTTCCATGAAGAACTTCTTCCTGATGTCCAGCCTGAACCTTGAGGCTGTTTGCAGTCACCCTGCCCCTGTTCCCTGGGAGCAAAGCCTCACCTGGCTGCACCCTCCTGTCAGGAAGTTGTAGAGAACAAGGTCCCCTAACTCCCCTTGTCTCCAGGAACAGAAAGGGACACACAGCTGTCCTACCACAAGTGTCAGCCCACTTCCAAGACCCCAGTGATGAAGAAAAGGCCAGTGACTCACTGTTAACTGCAACCCATTCATTTAGGTCCTCCCCCTCTGGAAGCATCACAGCCATCCGCAGGTTGCCGCTTCCCAGCGTGGCCTCGGCATGTTTCAGCAGCTCGTACTGGTGAGACCCCTCAGGAATATTCTTCTTTGGTTTGAAGGTCTTGGAAGAGCGACTGCCACTGCAAGAGAGAGAGGAAATATTTAGAGACCTTGGGGAACAGGAAGCAAAGAGGAAACAAGCAGACCAATCCCAGGATAGGATTAACATTAAATAATTTACCCACTCACGTTATTTTCATGCTGCAACAGGGTATTTACCAAAAACTGGGATGCTAAACTAGCAGGTACTCTGACTTGTTTTAATTTATTTTCTAACTAATCACCTCCTTACCTAAAATGTTGTTTGGAAGAAATGCACTGGCTTAGGAAAAACATTTAGACATTTTAATTTTAAACCATGGCAGTGAGCATGGATGGCACATGATGGCATCCCTAACATGTCAGAAATATGACACGTAGAATTAATTATTTGCAGGGAAGTGTCAAATGAGCCAGTATTTCTGTGTATGAGCAGAGAGAAGACTTCTGTCAGAACATGCAAAGTGAGCTCTGAATTCCAATGCAAGTGGAAAGCTGTGAAACCCAGACAGCAGAATTCTCATCACAAATACTATCCAGACCTCATTCCTTTATATAAAGACTTGGCCAACGTTTCACCAACTCTCTAAGGACCAAACAGAATTTTCTGCTGGTGGGATGCAAGGACTGTCTCTCTTTATTCGAGGCCCTGGCACAGAGTGCCCAGAGAAGCTGTGGCTGCCCCTGGATCCCTGGAAGTGTCCAAGGCCAGGCTGGAGCGAGTTTGGAGAAACCTGGGCTAGAGGAAGCTGTCCCTGTTTGTGGCAGGGGTTTGGAATGAGATGAGCTCTGAGGTCGCTTCTAACACAAACCATCCTGGGATTCTGTTTTATGGTCCCAGAGCTGCTCTGACTCTCTAGGGCTCCAAAGGAGCAGCAGCATCCTCCCCTTTCCACGGGCCTCTGAAGTAATCCTGGGTGCTGAGATGAAGGGCTTGGCTGGACTTCCAGGGATGGTACAGCTGCACAACCATGAACACTGCCATGGACACCTGAGAAGCACCAGCACAGCCTCCTGCTAAATGCAACCAGGAGCCAGAAGGAGAAGGAGGGAACATCCTGCTCCCGTCTGTTCTGTTACAGGACACTTCTAGCTGCTCCTAGTCATCTGCACCTCACCCTAAGCCAGGATACCAGACACAAATCCTGAATTAAATAATTGCCTCTCAATGGGAGTGAGAAGCTTCTGTGGCTCAGGGAGTTGCCATCACCTCCCACCCCTCCAGCCACCTGCATCGGGTGCCAGGCCAGACTCAAACCAGCTCTGAACAAAGAAGAAACTGAAAAAAACCCCAAGGAGCAAAAACCCCACATCTCTCGACGGAGTACTTTACTTAAATCCAATTATTATCTTTTCAGGAACACAGCCACTTCAGGGGCACTTTGCCAACGTGAGGACTGAAAATACAACCTAAAACATCTGGAGAGCAGAAAAGACTGGGATCACTATCTTTCCACATGTGTCAGCATAAGTAGAAGGAACCCAGCACGAGCTAAACACAACCTGGAAAAAGGTTATGAAGTATCTAACCCAAGCAATTATTGTTTGTGTTTTAGCACAAAGAGTAAGCTCAACAAAGGGATGAGGGTTTGGGAATAGGGCATTTTGGGAAATGAGGAGTGAAGGAACTCCCTAAGTAGTTTGTTCTGAGAAACTCTAGGTAGGAATTCCCGCTGAATACCCTGCACAGGTCCATGGTCAAGGAAGCAGAAAATGCAACATGTTGGAAAAAGCTTTAGGTAGCATTTAATTCCTGCTCCCTCCTTCCCAGAAACCAGGGGGGCTCTTCCCATAAGCTGTCAAAGGCTGTAACAACACAATGAAGTACTGCTCTAGGCGAGCCCTTCCATCTTTGCCTCCAACACCTTTCTGATCCCTGCTTCTCAAAGGCAGCACAGCCACCCTAAGCCAGCAGGAAATGGTCTCACAGGCAAGGCAGGCAGGCATCCAAAAGGAAAAGTCATTAGCATAACTGCAGCCTGGTAGTTGTAGCGTGCTATGGAAATACCTGCAATTTTGGCAATAAATTATCAGAATTCCATGCACTTCTGCAGTTCACCCAAGCCAGTTAACACACCCCCCGAGATAACGCTCAGGGACACCCTAATGCAGCTCTATCTTTACAGGATGTGGTTTTTCTTGGAAAGTTTGGTTAAAAATATTGCATTACTAAACAGTACTCCCATTACCTTATTAGTCTAGAAGCTCTCCTATCATTTAACAAAAAAAAAAAAAATTACTTTTTCCTATTATGCCGATCTGTTTCACGTGACAGACTCGGAAAGCTGTCTCGACCCAGGTCTATTCCCTCAACTCCTTGAGCAATCAGTGAAAAAAGTAACTTTACAGAGTTCTGCCTGGTGGCCAACAATACACACAATCATCCACGTCTGGGTCACGTGGGACACTATTTTCAGCCACTTTCCATCAAGGAATCAGCCGTTTCTATCGAGGTTTTAAAATGCTTTAAGACAGTAAGGCAGCACTTGCCTTTTCCTCTTCAGACACTCTGAGCTCTCCTTCATATTAAGGCAGAAGTGAAAGGGGACAGAGAAGATGAAGATCCCATTTTCCTTGGACATAAGGAGGCCACAAAACATGGAGCAGGTTGCACCATCCCCACTACATGCCACGACCAACACACAGCCTCCCAAGGAGAAGGGACTTCTGAAGGAATTCCAACGATGCTTTCCTCCCTTCTCTGCCACCCGTGCCATTCCTAGCAAAAGATTGCTGCCTTCTGTTTCTGCAGGGTGCTGCAGCCGGGCCCAGCACCGAACGAGGAGCTGTGTCTGAGGCTGTGTGCAGGGCTCAGCAAGCCCTTCCCACCAGCAGGAGCCCACACAGCCACGTCACAAGCAAGAACACCACATTTCCTCCAAAGGTGCCACTCCAGCCACGCATCTGCTGGCAGGAGGTGGGTTTTGTGATGCACCTTCTTTCTACAGGCTGCTGTGTCTCAGGCCGGTAAGAGGATGTTTCCAGAAGAAAGGAAAAATGTGAGGTGTTCTGCTCACCCCACACAGCTCATCTCAGCTTCAAAGGCAGCACTGGCAGATGTCCTGTGCTCAAAGCAGCTCAAACACCCAGCCTGAGCTCTTGCTAAACTTCCCATTAAGTGCTCCCAGGAGAAGCCCTTGGGCTGGCCTAGCTTAAACCTCCTCACTCCCAACCATTTGCCCACAGACCCCTTCAGCAGGGATTTTTATCCATTTCCAGCAAGTCTGCCGCAGGTTTGGGGAAACCTGAATTAAACCAGGTAAGTTTAGGCTCTTTATCCATAAAAGGTACCCCATCACAGCTTGCTCTCAGCACAGAACTAACCTCAGGCCCTGACCAGCTGTGCAGTGGCAGCATTTTCAGCACACACCTGCCACCTACGTTGCTCTAATTGCTCCCCAGTGCTGAGGCCCCCTTCCTTGGGGTAAGGAGTGAGTGAGTGAGTGAGTGAGTGAGTGAGTGAGGGAGTGAGTGAGTGAGTCCTGGAAGCACAGCTGTGCCACTCAGTGTCTCCCCAAAGCCATCACCACCATAGCCTGGCTGAAATAAGCCTTTCAAAGTACTTGGAAAAGCTCAAGAGATTCTCAAAAAGCTGAACTCAAAATAGTACACAGAATATTTACACAGGGCATGGAAACTTTTCCTATTTTAACTCCTGCTTTTTCATCTTCAAGCTCCTTCAGAAGCATCAATTAGTCATCCCAAAGTACCTTTGAAGTAGAGATCATTAGTGTCTCATTACACAGGGAAACTGAGGCAGCAACTCACTGCCACAGGCACATGAGTGAGTTTATCCGAGAAGCCACCAAGTTTTAGCTCTGCACTTCTGTCTCCCTTCTCCTGCTGAGCCTCTTTTTAAACACAGAAACACTCTAAGACAAGACCCAAATTCCAGAAAAGCAAACATTTCCAGCCTTTAAACAATAATACAGGCCTTCAGATGATAACATGCTGCTAAGAATAGAAACATCAGAGTGAGAGCGGTTTGTTTCCACCAGCCAACACGTCAACATAGAAACTAAAATAAAAGCTCGAGCTACTTTTTGACAATGAAATCAATAGCTGCAGCCTTTAAAAACGTTTTCCCTGTGACAACCACAGCAGTAGGAGGACAGCAGGTGAAATTAAGCTGAACGTGTTCAAAATCTGCACTGATGAGATTGAACTTGAGCATTTCTATTTATAAAACTGAATAGTCACAACATTTCTGTTTTCAAGAGAGAGAGTGTGAGTGGAAAGCATTGCTTCCTTCAGTTTTTACAGCACCAAAAAGTCAACTTTTTCCAATCCAATTCCCATTCACTGCAGTAAGCCTGTCTCAGTGCAGCCACTTGAATCTGCAGGTAACAAAAGCAAGGCAAGAATTCAGGATGCATTCCATGCAGCAACTCCGGGAAGCAGCTAGGAGCTGCCAACTCCTTACACAACACAGTTGCTCTCCCAGAGGATCAGGCAATGGTTTGAAAGCAATTCCAGGCCTAGAGCTTTTGTTTTGATTGAAGGAGGAATCTGTTGTCATCTTATTGCAGAAGTTCCACACTGTTGTCTCCTTATCACAAAAGTTTCACCCCTTCTTGGTGTTTTCTGGTGGGCAGCTCCTCAGAGCAGACTCTTTCTTCCTGGCAAAGCAGCCATCTGACTCCAGTTCATTCTCAGCCACCCAGCCCACTCTTTCACAGCACTCTTCTTCTCACTGGCCACAGCTGTGGCCTGTTCAAGTCAGGCCTGTTCCTAATCTTTGGTAACTGGCCCAGCTGCAACTCCTTAGGCGTGAAATTACTTTCTGCACTATCTTTATTTTCTTATATTCTATCCCCCCACAGGAATCAGTGGCACCGAGTTGAAAAACTTCCCGACACATGGTCATTCCTATAGGAACAGAATACACGGGGCTCATTGCTTATTGGCTACACCACAGAGTGACTTCAATTCTCTGTGGGCTGTTGAACCTGAACAGGATTCTCAAAAGGGGTATGGAATTTCCTCCTTCCACTGGAGTACTGACAGGGAAATCAGTGTTTCCGTGCAATTTTTCATTCTC